TGCTTCTTTTGCCTTTACTAACAATAAATTGTTAGATTTTAAACCGTGAGATATCGTCAGTCCTCTTGCAATAAATTGGACCCCATGGTTTCAAACAGATACGAATAATAAAGCTGATAGTAAGAGATATTGAGGAGAATGCTGATAACTCAGGTAATGTAGATGGTCGTTGGTTTGTTCTCTGAGCTGACGATTTGATTGCAAACGTTTCATCACCAATCGACGTGACATCATCAGTCCGCCTTTAGGGAGCGCAGTGAGGAGTAGCGATGGATCGGTGGTACATTTTGCAGGAACATGTGCCAATCGACAGTTACGGTAAAAGGCTTACTCAACGTTGTTGCTAGGGTAACACCGATCGGGACATTTTTAATGGATATCTCTTTCTTCCCCATTTGCAGTAGTGTTCGTATTTTACATAATATACCATCATTATTGTTGGTACTGTTGTTATATTGAGCTACGGAGAGTCGAGTGTGGATCATATGAGGTAAACCTGTGCGCCACTGGGTGAACTACAGAACACTTTATGAGAAATATGAAGGCATGCTTTTTTTGGTTAATGTCTTATACCCATTTGTGAATCACAATTCACCAGCTAACTGTGTCAGCCGCTGTTTGTTTGCTCATCTGTGCTTCTGTAGCCTTACCAGCTAAGCATCAGGCACTTACTAGTAAACTTGGCCTTGTTTAGTTTCTGAGCCATGTGGACGCTTTCAGAACACTAGCCATGTCGCTCACTTTGGTTTGAGCTGCGCACATATGGAAACCCAATGCGTCAATTCTAGCGGTTCTTCCCAGCATAAATCATACTTTCCAACATGTGGATCCTTAATGTGGGAACGTGCACTGCTCCTCGGTGTGTAAAACGACACGCTGTAATCTACCATTAATTGACTTTTTCATTTTGTAACAGATTTAGCGTTAGCTTATTTAAGATAGTTTAGTCATTCTGAAATAGGACTAAATACGCCCGAAAAATCCAATCTATTACTGAAAACGATCAAAATGGTTTAACGTTTTGCAAACGGGTAATTTATGCGAATTTGTGCGAATGGTTGTAATGGTTGTATCTTGAACACCTACCTGACGGAACTCTTTGAGAGCACTGGGGTACCATACTTTCTAAGTTGCTAATTCGTTTGGGTCTTACACAATCCAACTTAAAGCGAAGCGGAAAAGTGCTGAACATAGACCCAATGTTACTGAGACAGTTATCGCGTTACATATTTAGCTAAAAAAACTAGGCATAAGTGATTTATTCAGATTTTGTTGATATAGCATATCAGAACAGATTCGATTTGCAACCAGGTGATGTATTGAATCTTCGTCCTCAAAGGACCTTTTGCTTCATATTCAAGAAGCATGTAGCCTACAGAGATGAGGCTAAAACATCTTGTTGAATTTGGTCTTTCGGACATTCAAACATGGCCGCTTGAACGAGGATAGGGTCACTGAAAGGTCTTTCCAGTCGGTGACCTACTTGAACCAGTCGTTGACCTAAGATTTCAAAGTTTTCTCTGGCATATACATAGTAGTATAGAGGATCAATTCCTCTTTCGTTTCGACCGTTCACGCTTACTTTTAGCTTAGCGTTTTCTTGATCCTGAAGAAAAACAATGAGCGGTTTTGTTTTGAACGATGTGTTAAAAATTTGGAATGAAATATGCGGATTTGATAACCTAGCGTCCATCAATGTTAGAATATCCTGTAAGACAGTGGCTTCATCTGAAACATGATTGTACTACACCTTTATACACGCTGTTCGTACAATTAGCAAGAAAGAAACTCTTCGAAGAAATTGACATTTATGATGCACACAATCTCCTATGTCTCAGATGAACGAAATCTATCAACCTTGCTTGCATTCCTTGAAACCAGTTTAGGCTTGCTACATCTTCCACCAATTATCCCACAGCAACAAACATTACTTGGAAAATAGATTTATTAGTCCTTGTATTGTCTATTGAAAAAAACTGCTTGAAGAGTCCTCTGAGAGTCAAACAAGTGTGATTTTATCAGAGTTGGAATGATTCAGACGTCGTTCGCTCATATGTACGACTGACTTGTACCCATTTGAAATGAAAGTGATGAAACCCACACTTGAGTTATTTATCTCCTCTTTGTCCTTAAGTCTACCTCCATACATACTTCTTATTGAGGAAACAAGTGAAAAGTTTTGGGAACGGTGCAGTTTTTATACTGAGGATGGGCCTTGTGTTGTTTAATTTATGTACTATATGTGTTTATGAAACGATGTGACCAATCTACTTTACTAGGTGGGATTGGGTCCAGCACTTCCTACGAGCCAAAACGTTTGATACGGATTATAGCATCACCCCTATTTCACTGTTGGTATCACAGTTTATGGTAAGACTAGACTACAGCAAGCGCTGAACAATCGATCGCGACGGCGATCGATTGGGATTGATATGAGTACAAGGGACTGGAATTGGGGTAGAAGTTTGTGTGAGCCTTGGAGAGCTGTGTCAAACCTATGCCGTGATCTAGACCAAATCATTAGGTTCCCTTAGGAATAAACTCGCTGACGCAAATCTATGTGCGTTGTTTTTCATTTCCTTTAACCTGAAAATTTCTCACACTTACGCACATGCGTTCACACATGCACGGATTTGGCCGCTGACTGCAATAATATGTGATACGAATTGCTGTGTTCCATGAGTTGGATTGGTAAAAACAAGAGCAAAGTGTTACGGCCAGTGATCTCATATATGACTGTGCCCTGTTTCATTCCAGGCCTTTATTTGTCTTTCTTTCGTAGAGAAAACCTGTTTCATTGTTTTGTCGAAACCGTAATGATGGAAGTGCGCTAAATGGATTCTAGGAAAAGTAGCGTCTGAAAATAAAAAATCTCTCGCTGTATCGTGTGATAATATTTTATAAAATATGACAAAATAGTGGAAATAAAACGCTAGAAAAATTATTGGTTATTTAATTAGTTGACCACTCGAACAATGAGTAGTTATCAATAGTTTTTGTCTCAGAATTTCTTTCTGTGGGCGTTGAATATGGTGGTGTGATGTGTCCTGGTAACTGTTCAAAACAACCAAAGACACGTAATAGACACAATCAAAGACTAATGCCCCTTTCGTAACGAGGTCAATTCAATCCATATAAGGAACACCCTCAGACAGACATTGCTCTCTGTGCTCCCCAGAAACGGTCCATATGGGAAATAGTTTCAATAGTTTGCAAGACTTTTTGCTGGATTGGAAACAGATCAAGTTTTGTTGTTTCCCAACCTTTGGGTATCTGGACAGTAGTGCCAAATACGATGTGGGCTGTAGTATTCCGTAACAGCTGCCTCAAACAAATGACGTGAAAAGCTTTTTACTTCGAAGTGAACGTGTACACTCTTTATAATACAATGTTGGTAATTTGAAAACACCTGGTTCATACGTAGGTTAAAACTTGCCAGTGCGCTGTCACAAGGCGCACAAAAAATTTGCGCCTCAGTTAAGCTGAGAAGCATGGCAATTAATTATTGTTGGTAGTGTGAGGATATTTGGGATTTTTTGTGGAGATTTCGTCCTGTAAGTAAAGCTAATCTATGCTGAAAAGCCGAGAAGTACTGTACGGCTGTATCATCCTTATCGGGAATCATCAGTAGTGAGCATCTCATGAAACTCCGAAGAGTCGCGAACCCGCGACCTCCCGGCTAGTAGTTTGAACACTTAACCGTTCGGCCACGCTTCTCGGCTTTTACGCATAGACTGGCTTCATTACAGAACGAAATCTCCACAATCAATTATTGTATATTTAAATAACAATGTGGCTTTTGGCCAGCCAGATGTGTCTGATTGGTTAATCAACCCAGAAAATACCATTTGGGAGCAAAAGATCTAAATGGTTAAAACGGAGGGTGCGTAAGTAGTATGCTTGTCCCAAAGAAAAATCAGCAGCATTAAAACATATTTAGTTAATATCCTGAAGGCCTGCAAACACCAGTTATCATGTTGCTCGGCTAGTTCTGTATAGTAAAATGCTGATCCGCTGCTGGAATTGGTCTCTTCAGGATGCGTTGAGCACGGAAGAAGAGGATGGACCCACTTTCGTTTATTCGATGAACCCGATCGTCAGTTTATGCAGATGATCTGATAGGTTGGTGTAAATTAGACTAACTGTCGTATGGTATGGTTAACCCAGATTTCTACTTGGTGAGGATTAGAAAATGTGCCCCGTTTCAGTTCCTCATGCTACTCATGCCAGGTGCCCATTACGTTCCGGTGAAACATTGGATCATCTTCGTCTAAAGTGATCAACAACAGTCAGTTCAATTTATCCAGGAAACTGGACAACACCAGACATTTCATTAGGCAAAAACAATTACAATTGGATTTGGCATGTCTGACTTACGGTTTTGAGCTGAATTAAACTCTGTCCAAAGTACAGGGAATGTTTGTAGTGATTTCTTATTGTACACCTATTCGGTTCACGTAAATAGCGCACTTGAGACGAACGTTTCTGGAACGCACTTACTTGTAGTTTTGCCGTTCTTTTCTACAGGAAATTGCCGCAATCGTTAGCTGTATAGATGAATGTACTTTCTGGCGAGAAATGTGCGTTGGTGACATTGGAACTGTGAGTGGAATTGGGCGGCGGATTAAAAAAACCGTCTGATCATTTTTAGACCTAGTCTAGTGGCTGATCTAAGGATGATAAGGAATTCGGGTGTACTATAGATCAATTAAAATCTTTTTTGTTGTGAGTGGTCTCAAGATTTTCGGGGTGTTCATATTCACAGTACTCTCGCTTAAGCAGTCGGTTTTTTGTTCTGGTGAGTTCACACTAAAAGAGATCACTGAACTGGTGTTTCTCTCTTATTAGAGCTCATTGGCTGTGCATACCCTTGGCTGTACCGGGGTTTGAACCCTGGTCAGGCGGATCAATCCACAAGACAATTACTAGATCGTCATTTGAGTAGCCGTGCACATCGCTGAAGCGTAAACACGCCTGCCTGTTCAGACTTGAGAATTCAGATGTGTCCAGCTTGCGCTAGTGGAGTATTGGTAACACGCTTGCCTCACATGTCAGATGTCCGGAAGTCAAACACCCGAGGAAATGCATTGCTAATTAAAATATCTTCAGGTGGGTTCGGCAAATCTGTATTTAATAGTTCAACCGTTTCGGCAACTGAAAATAAACGGTTAATCTTAGTCTGGCATGAATTTGATGCTGCACAATTAGTTGGTTACCACCAAAGACAGAACAAACCACACTGAAGTAGGACACAACAAATTTTGGATTAAAAGAACTATTTATACCAACGATTAGCTGCTATTCTGGGGAATTCACCGGAACGTCCTAAGACAATTTTTTGTCTGCACCATAAGTAATCTTTGTCACTCACATATGTCGTCCCTAAAAGTGTGGCACTTTTGCTGTCCTGAGTTGAGCGGAATTTTTATAAGTATTTCGCAGTTCATGCGTCTGTCTCAGTGATAAGCGTTATTGACTGCGAAGGTGACCAAGTGTGCTAGGTTGCTTCAAATTTCTGCGCTTGACCGGTTTCTGAATGGCTCAACTGGTCACTGTACAAGAACCGCAGCTTTTTTGCCCTCACGCGTATACTTTATGCGGTTTTATTCATTCATTTTCTGGAAATTCCTACAAATTTTCCAGCATTTAAACTGGGTTCAACTTGCATCTTTCAGTGTTGCAGCTTTTTGCCCTCACGCGTATACTTTATGTGGTTTTATTCATTCATTTTCTGGAAATTCCTACAAATTTTCCAGCATTTAAACTGGGTTCAACTTGCATCTTTCAGTGTTTGACAAAATCTCTGCCATTAGGACAAGAGTGCAAAGATCCTAAGTCTGAGTTGAAACTCCCTTACCGTATGTGTACTTTCCTTATCACACTACCCTTACTCTTTGGGGAAGTTTAAAGTCTCGCATTAAACGTGGAGTTACTTTGATGAGCAAAGGAGAGTCTCAAGAAGTCCCTAGCCAAAATTTTAGCTAGCAAAACTCTGGTAGTTGTTATCTGTTCACCCAGAGAATCGTGTAAGATATTCAGCATCATTATAAACATATTCAACTTCTGACCACGCACACTTTCTGCACGAGGTCCAAGTACTTGCGAGATTCAGCACAGGTCCGAATCTGTTATTCATCACATGGCTTGGTATCTTGTTAAACCAGGTTATTTGCGTGTTGCGCTTCTTTCTACTTTACTTTGCTAACCGTCGGAGGCTTTCCCGATAAGCTAGAAGTTACTTGGTGATTTTATTATCCTGCTTGGGTTTTTGTGCTAATATTCATCTCTTGGAATGCCTGCACTATTTTTGTCTGGACTAGCTAACTCTCTCGTCGAAGCGCCGTTTACTCACATGCTAAGACCGGTTGCTTGTCGTGATTTGGATTAATGTTAAAAGACCGCATTTTATTGCGTTTTAGTTTGCATAGCGCCTATTATTGTAGTGTATTATTCTTAGGTGGAATTACTTTTCAGACTGACACCCCATCATCTTCTGGCAAATACGGCCAGTCAATTTGATTGCCAACCAACGTAGTCAGTCGGATGTGAGGGTTTAGTATGTGTGACGCAACTGGTAGTTATTTTTCAGTAATTACCGGCGTTTCCCAGTTCCAGCGGAACTGAACTTTCCCCCCTAGGACAAGTGTTTGTCATGACCACTCAGTATCAGACTTTTGTTGTTATGCTAGATAATGAATGCCAGAGAATGTCAGAGGCTAAATGACCCAATCCCTGTGGAGTATTTGCTCACGATTGTGAGGTCAAAAAACCAGATGTAGTTCCATAATGTTGGGGGGGGGGGATGATATCCATGTAGTGCTGCAAAGTGGTAGTGGAGAGGGAGCACTTACCATCAGCGATTCATATTTCCTCTAAAACAAAACGGACAAACATAGGAGCTTGGTTGCTTTTACTGACCTTGGAGAGTACTGTCAAATTTTACTGGGTCTTGCTCACTTGTAACTGGCGTTTCGTTACCTGAAACAAAAAAAACGAGGCCTGGGGTTGTGACAAGCGGTAGAATATTCTTTCTAACATTTTGATTTCGGGACACTCATCTGTAACACAATCAGGACAGGTTTTAGTAGCAGTGCTGGAAGTTGAAAATGCAGCATAAACCATGTGGATTAAATGAAAACTGCTGAGAACAGTAAATTTGTGTCTTGGAATCAATGGGATAATGTTTCAGAATGAAGAATATTCTTTTGGAATGGAATTTGTGCATTTAGGTGCTCTTCAAGTGAGGATACAGTTTGAGTAACGGTTTTATTGGGACCCATTTTTGACTTAGCTTGATGCTCATCCTACACACACATGCGAATAACTGTCCAGTTATGCATTTGAGTTTAATTATTTCATCCTGGGTGAACTTTGGGAGAAAGTGGGATGGAAATTTCACGTTTCTCATCTTCAAACTTTAAGATAGATTTCATACTTCCTTTGAATGTTCGTCAGCGCTTTGATAAATTGTTGGTTAACGGATAAATACTAGTACGCTGCATGAGGCGGACACCAAGGCTGACAGTATTTAAAGAAATGGATGAAGCACTGGGTTCAATCGCTTGGGGCAGGTACTGATCTCAGGGACAGAACCTGACGCGTAGTGCTTGGCTCCATACCCAACTGGCGGCTGCTCAAATAATAGTTTTTCTGAAATCAATCAGATCAATGACCGCAGAAATTTTCTGCAGTATGAACTGAATTACTCACCGTGTAAATTTTTTGTGTTTCCTAGGTTGAGGAATACAACCCGGTCAAACGAGTGAAGTCAAGCGAATTCAGAAAAACTAATAATGAAGATCAAAATACAGAGGTGGACAGTGGTACTTTAAAGCCCTTGTTTTATTTCTGCTCAAATTTCTACACAAGTGAGAGAACCAACATCAGGATTGGCTAAAGGTCTTTGCGTTGTAATCTGTTAGATTTGTTTCAAGCGTTTTATTAGTTGAAATCAGTTTTCTCTGGGTCACTCTTGGAGGAGCATAGTAACCAGTAGCACATGCATTCATCCGTCGAATCGGAATAACGGCAGTGGTTGGGTCCACATTTTCCGTCAACGTTAATCGACTGTGAAAGATCCCATTTTGACTTGAACGGGGTCAGTTGTATTCTCCCTTTTTTCGCTGAAAGAGCAGTGTCGCACAAGGTGCTTATTAGGTCACCAGCTTATCTAAAATTAGTCAATGGTGAAATTCTGACTTTAACTTTCTCTTGAAACCTACATCTTCCCTCAAAAGGAGATAATCCCACCAGTTGAGAGTCAATGAGCCGAAATTCGTTAGCTTAAGAAAGAGCACTTCGAAGGGCAGTCATATCTGAACGGCTGTCAGCATCTGGGCTTAGTATCTTCCCGCATCCACTGACTGCAAACTGATCAAAGTGAAGCTACTGCGCAAAATTCACGTTGACGAAGATACTGACCAACCAGAAGTATGTATGGGAAAGTAGTCAGTGAGTTTGCAGACTGTTGATTTACACTCAGTCGCATGTGCCACAGGAGTGTACCCCAACGGAGTAACTGCGTCACAAGAGCATTTTCGCGACTTTTTCGAGCCAGCTAATTTGCACTTTCAAAAGCGGCCTTTCAAGTAAACCAAATCATGTATGCACCACATACTTCGTTTGTCTATGCTTATTAGGGCTTCTAACTAGTTAGGGACATACCCTAGACCGGTACGGAGTGAAACAGGTGTAAGAATCGCATTATTCCTTCATTCGTGCAAGTGTTCAGTCACTCATACGGCAAAGCCGTGGCTGCTTAGGTCTAATTGAACGAGTGCGTATGAGAGATAACTTAGCAGCATAAAAATTTTCAAAGAAAGCGTTCGAAATAGGTTTGATAAGCGAACTTCATGGATTCGTTTTTGGCGGTAGGTAGTCAGTAAGCATGTTTTTTTAGGCTCGACAACGCCGGTGGATGCATTTCGCCACATACTGTATCTTGCTACAAAGCCAGAAATGAGAAGGCATAGCTTGGCAAAACGACGCTAAGTCGTATGATAACCTGGGTGGAAATGATCAAGCAAACGGAGTGAGCTTCACATGATCTACTGAGGCGTTCTCATATCAGTCAATCTGTTCTAATTCAGAGGTTGCGGAGTAGGCCCATCATATGCTTCAGACGAGTTTTTAATCCAGATTACTGCTTTTTCCATCGGACTTCTCAGATGCATCTACCCATTTTTCTCACTGTCCACCTTAGCTGGGCGCTTAAGTAATGATTTTCCATCACTGAAGAAATCGTTACATTCGTGCGTGAAAGCTCCTATCTGTAACAGCTTGGCATCCAAAAATGATTTTCCCGTCTACGGTGCGTGGTTCAATGGATAAGAAATTGTGGGTCTTGCGGGTTGGAACACGGAGCAAGGAGAACACGTACTGCCAAAACTGCAGTTTATCGGGCTGTCTAAATATGATCGTAAAGTTAAAATTCTGACCGTTTCCGAGTTTGGCATCTATTGTACAACCGACAATATTTGAGCCGTTTTTGCAAGTCGTTTTTAGCTCATGTTTCCATTGATATAACTAGGTTTGTATTGACCTTGGCTCGCATGAGAACTCTATTGATCGGAATTTGATCAGATAACTGAATCGGAAGGATTTTACGCGGGCATTGAAAATAAAACTTTGTCGAGAATTCTAATTTGTAATTGATGACCCATCCACGTTTCACTGAAACACAGTAGTGGAGACTTCTCATCAGCTTGGTACACTGGGAACATGGTGCCCAAGCCCAGAACTAATTTGTACCAAACGTATTTGTAAAGGCAATAGAATGCAGAAATTGTTCCTAAGAGATCCGACACCAAAACATTCAGAACGTTCAGGTAAAGCGTGTTCTGAAGGATATTTCAGGGCAAGGTACACAGGAATCTGGTAGGGGGTATGCAGAAAAGCCACAGAGCTATGCTCACTAAGATGGGCAATTGTGAGTGGTTATCAAGCATTTAGCTTATCAAAATGTGACAGTGATTGTGAAGCAAACACTATTTGAGTTAATACTGGGTCATCTTAACGAAGGACACCGTTTGCATGCATCTAAGTTGGCTTCAACGAACCCAACGATCGTGTTTCGACAGTATTCATAGAAATTGCCAACGAACATGTGCTGTTAGTAAGGGAGGCCAATTTTACTTTGGGTATTTAAATCGTAGGCAGTCATGCCTCAGCATCGTCTCGTCGAATAACACGATTACCAAGTTTCTTGTATACGTTAAATCTCTAACGAAATATTCGAAAGAGACTCGAAAGAAAGCAAACATTGTTTGGTGGTGTAACCCTTGACCATCAGTTCTATTCTGGCAATTAAGTCAAGTTCCCCTGGCCTACGAAGGATGATCATGGCGTGAAGATTCCAGGTAACTCTGTCCTCCCGATTATACCATGATCACTCGGTTAAACTTCACATTGTGCAAATATGTATTAGCACCACTGATGGGCTTACGGCCCAAAATCTGCTTGCGATAGCCCAACAACAAATTCTCAACTTGGAAGTGCTGGTTACTAACAGTAATTTTCAGGCCGACAAGGAGTCGGTCGGAGAATACTAAATAATTGCCTTAAAACTCTCCGGCCTTGGGGACGCTGTAAGCCTTCGGCAATACACTTTGCATATGGTTTGGTTATATCGTTCACACCTTGGTGAAGTCCTATTTCTAGTGGAGCCACTCACAGTCTCAGCGAGACTTTACAGGACAGATACCGTTCCAAATCCCTATAGGAGCATGCAACCCTGTACATCCTCATTCCACCGCTAATGTTCGTTGACTTGAATACGGTAAAGGACGCGAAGTGCAAATTTTTGGGGCAGTTTGTGTTGAATGCATGCTACCACAGCTCACGCACTCTAGCAAGTACGACTCTGCGGAGACCGTTCTTATTGTGTCTGTTGTGCGCATCCAACCGGCTATGGGTTATCAGCAGGGTTATCAGTCCAACACATCTACGAATCCCGGTAAACGTCAACTTGTAGAGACGCAAAGAGCTCCTACTTGACCGTACGTAACGCGCTAGGTGGGTCCATTCCTCGTGCCAACACAGAACCGTTAACATTACTTCTGTGAGATTATTTCTTTTTGATCTTCTTTAAATTCATCGTATACTGACCATTACGCAGTGTCAATACCATAGAATGCAACTGGTTAATGGTCTAAATCACCTAAACTTGGCCCGTGCTGCAGGCCGATCATATGTAGGAAAAATTTGGCTTATTGTAACAAAAGAAAGAAAAAATGCCGATCGAAACCTACCTTCTGTATCATTCATGGCACGTGTAGAACGATTGCTGATTGGATTGCATTCATTTTAGAGTAGTAAACACAATTTAAAATAAAACGCAGTTCTTAGTCACTTTGTAATGCTGCTCGTAGCTTATGATATCTGGGGCAATTAGAAACCAACGAGTTTTGGAAAGACTTACCGTGCAAAGACGGATTTGTTCCTGTTGGTATGGAAAATACGGATCACGCGTTGCAGCGCCAAACTAAAGTATTGTTGTTTCCAACAGTAGCAATGAGATATCGGTGGAAGACGAAATTACAATAGTTTCTCATCTACGTATAAGAAAATCCGTTCGGTTGAATTTAACTCTGTTGTGCACTTACATTAGTCGTACGCGATACCACTTTCTACATCTGCACCTAATCTAATTTTGTTCACTGACCAAATTTTTCGCCCTCTCTAAAACGGACCTTTTTATAGGCTAGACAGTCCTCGACAGACATTTAGTCACATTAACCAAGATAGCTCATTGCTAAACCTGAGAAACCAGGGTATTTCTCTTCCTCTAATCCTAGATGCAATTCCTTGAGTCAGCCTTCTTTAACTGGCTGATTAGGTGTTCATTTCATTGATAATTTGAGCTCGGTGCATTCTTTGTATGTATTGAATTCAAGGGTGACCGGAGACAAATTCATTCTGGTTTTCTGCTTACTTTGGTTACATTTTAGTAAGTTGCGGAATCTTGATAATTTAGAGTTAAAAGCGGTCTCTCTTGGGCGATATCCTCAAACAGCAAATTGATCAAACCTTGTAACACCTTGTTCAAAATAATGAAATGGGTCAAAAAACAAGAATCATTTGCGGCGTACAGGTCTTGTTCCTGGTCAAAAGGAATTAACCAGAGGAGTTACTTAGTAGACTAACCGCTGGTTCAGTTCTGTTCGCTTTTAAATCAGAAAATCCCTGCTCAACCGGTGTACGATACTCTATGCTGCTGAGACAAAAGAATCCATTATGGAGACGCAGACTTAGCACGCGGTGCAACAAGGTAATCTGGAATGAATGATCACCAAGAGGATTTGTAACTCACAGTGCACTGATGCGCGGCATACTAAGAATGAGAATAAAAAATTGGTAGAATCAAATTCAGCTGGAGATTGTCACTAAACAAGTATGCAAATGTTTAATATATTTACCAAGTCATTTTATGTAGGACCACAGTTTTCTCAGTGCCTTCTTAATACCGTGAACCTGAGTTTAGATAACCTGATGCGCTTAGACAAACCAGAAAGCTAATGAACGTTCAAATCAACTGATCTATCGAACTTTGACGCGTCATGTGCAGCTGAGAACGGGCTGCTTATAAAGCTCACGTGGAAAGTTCTAGGCGGGCCAAAAAGTGATAATGAAAATAGAACTCATCTGTCAAGGGCAAGTGAAGAACAACCACTTAAATCTGTCTCCACGGAAACGGCTATTCCATTAGCAGTTGTGACGTTCAGTTACGTTCGGAGCTGGTTCTCCTAATACAATTACACTTTGATAATAGTCTTCTTGATTTGGTTGTTAGTTAGTTAGTTAGTTAGTTAGTTAGTTAGTTAGTTAGGAGCTCATGAAATTGTAAGACCTATAAACAATCAAAGTTTATTGACGACACACTGAGCATATGCTGCATTACGGCGTCTCAAATTTCGTATTTTATGAACCAAACGAATTCGGTACGAATTTGGTACCATGAAATATTTGTCAGTAAAAACCTTAGTTTGCACCCCATAGAAACTGAAGATATGATACACACTGGAGCATACATTGAGCCAGATTGTAGTTTCAGATTGTGAAGTCCGTTCATTTAATGAGCCCTACAGTCGTATGAGCACAAATCAAGGACATGGCTGAAAAGCCATCCGTTACCGAGCTGAATAGTGTGCAGTTCCTATCTAGTATATTTTAGGTTTGAATCTCCCTTGAGGGAGAGGGTGTGCTCCACCCTACTGACGGTTACCTTGCTAAGGGTGAAACAGCTATGCTATTCAAATAAGCCCTGCTTAGCTTTGTACACCGAAGACTGTGTTCCACGTGCCCACCTGATACATCCACCTTCTTCAACTCATGGTAGAAGCATCAAAGTTGCGGGTTTGCATCCCTCGCTCATATCCCTGACTTGGCCATTACTGTCGAAATAGCTGTGTGACAGTACCATGTGTTTTGGTTATCAAACTGACCGAGAACTGTTTAATTGATCTTAACTGTTTTACACACCTAATTGTCCAAGCCGACAACCTAAAGTCCGATTGCGTTTGTCTCCTCTAAGATGTTACGTGACTTATCGAATACACGGAATAACTTAGACTGCTGATAAAGGTGTACCTTGGCAACATATTATTCACCACACCGCTGTTTTACTGAACCGGGTTTATAAGTGTGAAACTTTTCTGACCTAGGCCTTTCACGTCCCCGAAATATCACTGCCTGCTGGTGTGTTACTTTTTCTCGCTGTTTTTCAACTTACGCGGATTTCTAAACCTTTCCCACTTTTTCTGATGATTCCAAAAAGAAGTGATCCGATGCATCTCTCATCTAATGCATGCACTGCGCAGATAGCTCAGTGGTTAGAGCGCGAATTTACTAACCAGAAGGTCCGTGGTTCAAAACCGACCTCGGCATCTCGACTACTTTTGTCTAGGCTTGAGCAACGTGGCTGTATCTCGACCCTTGTGCATCCTCCTGGCGGCATGGCAGCTAGGATCCGAAGGGGTGTTGCAGCTGAGTAGACTGCTGTGATCAGCTGTTTTTCATTCAAATCGAAGTGCACTCCCTAACGACCTTTCTTTTGATGCTTGTTTAGTCCACCTGTTGTTTTTTGACTGAATATCAACACCATATAAAAAATTGGAGTGTGACCGGCATGTCGACTACTTTTGTCTAGGCTTGAGCAACGTGGCTGTATCTCGACCCTTGTGCATCCTCCTGGCGGCATGGCAGCTAGGATCCGAAGGGGTGTTGCAGCTGAGTAGACTGCTGTGATCAGCTGTTTTTCATTCAAATCGAAGTGCACTCCCTAACGACCTTTCTTTTGATGCTTGTTTAGTCCACCTGTTGTTTTTTGACTGAATATCAACACCATATAAAAAATTGGAGTGTGACCTAACCTTATATCTCGGTCAACTTATGCATTATGGAGACGTCATACTAATAGAAAAGTGAAAAAAATGTGGTGTTCCGAATTCTGTTCAGTAAAACTTACACCTTTGAGATCGAATTCTTGCTACAATAAAAATTCAAGAAAGACTTTTTGAAATGTGATTTACCTGAGCGACCATGTCATGACACAGTGTGTAGCACGTTATTTACAAAAACTAGACAATTATCTTCTCCTGAACGCGTCTTCTTGAACTGGATATTCATTGACTCCACTCATTCATTACTCAAATCCAAGCTAATGCTACGAGGCGACTCCACAAATTCCGCAACAGATCTCCCTTTTCAAGAGACGCAAAGTGAATTTACAAGAACAAAACGTACTTCCATGCCTTCCCATCAACAGTGTCACCGTTACACTAGTAGTAACCACTGGCATATGGCTGCCGTAAAACAGTTGGTGAAAACGATGTTGACAAAGTCGAAGAAAAAGAGGGAGTGAATATGGAAAACTAAAATACAAGTTCCTTGGAGAAAATGAGCCAAAGCAAGGCATTTATCTTTTCGGACAGTATTGATATAAGCACGTCTTGGTGTTAGGTCGGAGAAAAAGAACGTCGGTAGGATAGATACAACACCTTGTGCAAACTCTATCTAAGTCCAGCGTATGGTGCAAACCAGACGTTGGATTGTCCATCCTACTAGGGAGTGACAGTATGCCCGTCACGGGAGTCGGCTAAATAGCATGTTTTCAAGGTTTTTCAGTATGTACATTGACCGGGTTCAGTGGACATTTCCTACCACCAAAACCGATTTCATTATGCCTTTCCAAACCATTGCTTGCTGCCCGAAAGACTCTTGCCATCAGTGATTTTGTGCGGAGACAACGCTTTCAATAGTGATTGGTAGTTGGACTTGCATGGGGTATAGTCCGAGCATCTCAAGTTGGTAAGCACTATTTGATTCTCTGGCAACCAGTGGCGGAGAGGTTTCTTTAAGCCAGTTCGTGAACTGCCACAAAGGAACTGATGTCAACGACAGTGCGTTCTCCCAGTCGCGAGTGATTTGGGATGAATCTTTTTCTACAATGATCCGGCCGAAAGTTCGTTTAAAAAGGTAAGTCGTAGAGAGATTGGCATAGCGATTTTGACAAAATCTGTCAAAAAAGGCTTTTTCAACTATTTTCAGTGTTTTTGAATGATTTTGCAACATTTCCCAGGTTTTCGTTACCAGTTGGTTGCAATTTTAGAGTTTAGGGATAAATGTGGATATGAATGGACATTTCGTGAGTGCGTTAGAACAAGCAAAATATCACTGCCTACTTCGACAAAGCCCACTGAGTGCACCGAATCACCGAAGAAGTTTAGTTTAGAGTGGCAGCTCAAAGTGGCCTATACTCATCATTTGGTATACGTTGCAGTATATTTAAACCAGAAAACAAACTCAGCCGCCACCACTAATGTTGTGGACCACTAAAAATTTCGATAAAGAAGTAATTTTTGGGTTTCATTGCAAACTTTTGTATGCTACCTGAAACCGTATTGCTGATATCTATTAGTACTGTTGAAAAGTAACAAAAATCCCACCCACTCTTAATGGCTCTTGTCAGGTCATTTCAGCATTGCTGCACTGAGCAGTTCTCACGCTATCGATTAGGCTTTACTGAATATTACTGTGTGACTATGAAGGCCGGATGCATTACCAATTCTTTCCTTATAAGACGCTACGCGTCCACTAATGACAGGTATTTATGGTCTGCTTCACTGTATTGTACACGGGAATTTTCAGGGTAAAAAAACTAAATAAATTTTTTCTCAAAGCATTTAACTGGAAGATCATAAAAGCGTGAAGTTTAAACATCCACATTATGAAAGGAAAGACCCACAAGTATGTAGGCTCGAATCACCGTCCTACTTTTACCAGACGAGCGCTCCACCAACTGAGCCACCGAGGACGCTTTTTTCATGACACACAACCATTATATGCGAGTCACCAAGCCTCTGAATCAATGGTTGACGGTTTCCAGACAACAGTTAGCTATTTGATGCTCACGAAGATATAAAAACAATGCCGGCAGAACGGAATCATTTGAATTTTCATAGGCTTTTAACCTAGTGCTGTCGGAAAGTGTGGTTTTCAAAAAATCGTCCTAAAGAATGTAGACAAATTTGTCAATCCTGAGGAACATGGGGGTTATGTTGATGGATATGAAAAGTGAAATGAATGTTCCTAATATAGATGTTTGCGATACATTTCGACAAGCGTGTATTTCGGACTTGCAATGCGCGATGAGTCCCTTTTTGTGGTTTGAGCAAAACTCAAGGTTTATAAGGCACTTCCACAAACACAGCTGATAAACGTTTTATTTCAGCTTTGCCAGAGTGTATAATGAATCTATCCACTTTGGGAATGACACATAAGACAGTCTCATTTAATCAAATGACTGGCATATAACCATTAGCTTTAGAAATCTGGAAACAACAAAGAAATGCAGACATATCCGGTTTGAAGAACACAGCAGAGGAATTGTTTTTGAAACATGAAGAAATCGGGTTAGTGATTTGAGTAAATTTCGATGTCAAAATATATAACAAGCCAAGCAAACCTACCAGCGCATTCGACTTTCTCTTCTAAATGTAAAATGTATATGAAAAATCGTTGACTCTGTTTGACGTGAGCGAAAAGAGGTAAACCCTGTTTATCATGGAATAACACTTTGAGGGACAATTTAGAAAGCCTTTGGCTATATATTTTGAGAATAGTAAGATTGCCGTTTATCCCAAGTTGTTGCTTTCCTGCAGGACCTAGTACAGGTCTAATTGTTAATTAAGTGGCTCAGTGGTTATTATTTCAAAGGTTAGATGGCAAATCATACAAACTTTTACAGCTTGCCAAGCTGCAGCTGTAGGCCCCTGCAATGATATGTTTTTGGTAGACTTCGTCGGATTCTTATCATGGCTGATATAGGGTAATTTGTCATACTCCAGAAAGAAGGGTATGGTCTTGCTTCGTACCCAAAAGTAACCGAGAATTCTCAACTTTGCCAGAAGATGCAACTTACATACTAAGTGGTATTTCTCCCTCCTGTCCAACCTTTTTCGCTGCAGACAAACTGATCTTTACACCGGAAAAATTACTCAAGCGTTTTCCTACCACGAAGAGAGACGGATATGCCTTGTAGTGGTGCATAATGATGCACATTTGATGTCCCAGAAAAATGGGCACTTCTTCGAACAATTGGCTGGGAGAATTCTCCCTACTTGATTGAAGTGTGGCAAAGCCACAGAAACAGCCCGTTTTACTGCATTTTTCTGCACTCTGAACGCTCTATTTTGTGAACCGATGGTTGTGAGATGGAATTCCTCTAAGTCCGTTGTTCTTTCAGTAGTTGGGATGTCGCTTTATTAGACAAACAGTGAGGGCCGGCCACTGGATTGCCGTTTGAACCAACATTCATTTCATTTCAAATTCCCTTCCAAGATGCTATCTTAGCCACGATACTTTGCCACTGTGCATCACATTTTGTGTGATAACCCAGCGGAACTATATATTTTTTCAGGATAGCGATGCATTTTGACATATTTACAGTACACAGTTTTGATTTCAATATGTATAACTATCCATCCATCCATCCATCCATCCATCATCCATCCATCCATCCATCCATCCATCCATCCATCCATCCATCCATCCATCCATCCATCCATCCATCCATCCATCCATCCCATCCTCCATCCAACCATCCATCCATCCATCCATCCATCCAACCATCCATCCATCCATCCATCCATCCAACCATCCATCCATCCATCCATCCATCCAACCATCCATCCATCCATCCATCCATCCAACCATCCATCCATCCATCCATCCATCCAACCATCCATCCATCCATCCATCCATCCAACCATCCATCCATCCATCCATCCATCCAACCATCCATCCATCCATCCATCCATCCAACCATCCATCCATCCATCCATCCATCCAACCATCCATCCATCCATCCATCCATCCAACCATCCATCCATCCATCCATCCATCCAACCATCCATCCATCCATCCATCCATCCAACCATCCATCCATCCATCCATCCATCCAACCATCCATCCATCCATCCATCCATCCAACCATCCATCCATCCATCCATCCATCCAACCATCCATCCATCCATCCATCCATCCAACCATCCATCCATCCATCCATCCATCCAACCATCCATCCATCCATCCATCCATCCAACCATCCATCCATCCATCCATCCATCCAACCATCCATCCATCCATCCATCCATCCAACCATCCATCCATCCATCCATCCATCCAACCATCCATCCATCCATCCATCCATCCAACCATCCATCCATCCATCCATCCATCCAACCATCCATCCATCCATCCATCCATCCAACCATCCATCCATCCATCCATCCATCCAACCATCCATCCATCCATCCATCCATCCAACCATCCATCCATCCATCCATCCATCCAACCATCCATCCATCCATCCATCCATCCAACCATCCATCCATCCATCCATCCATCCAACCATCCATCCATCCATCCATCCATCCAACCATCCATCCATCCATCCATCCATCCAACCATCCATCCATCCATCCATCCATCCAACCATCCATCCATCCATCCATCCATCCATCCATCCATCCATCCATCTATCTACTGTACTGCACTGTGTCAGTTAGGATTATCGCTCAGATGCACCACATGAGTCTCGACCTTACCAACACATCCGCAAACATTTTCTGAAAGAGAAAGAAATGCGGTACAAAATATTTTATTCAGAGCATCACTACAGATAATCACATATGATGGTTAATTTGGAAAGCAAGCGAGCGGCCTTTACTCGCCCAAATTATTACTGGTATAAGGTTACTGAGTTTGCTCAGCATTCACCAACCTTATTTCTCATTTGGATACCAAATTGCTAGTAAGCGAAATTGTGCACTTGAAAAATTACCAGGCGTTAGTGGGATTGAACATAAGTAAATCTCATTTTTATGCTCAAATAAGTAGTGTTGTGTAAGTAGTTCATCTTAAACAGTATGTAGCCTTTCTGCAGCGCATTCAGTTAGAAGTTACCGCAAATTAGAGCTTCAGCGGTAAAACACGTTAATTTNTATATATATATATATATATATATATATATATATATATATATATATATAAACTGTTATCACGAAAATCGAATTATTTTTCATTGCAGCAGTTTGTGGTGTCCAGAAGGGATGAGAAGACACTGCTACCTCATCCTGCAGACTGGACTTAACGGTACTGTCATTCTGCCCGAGGCATTTTGTCTTTCTTGTCTTCAGTGACACTTACCCGCGTAGCTTCTATCTTATCCTGCAGAAAAAAGGAAAAAGTCGCATTACTAGTTATGGATGCCTTAGTATGATCCTAGTACAAACACCTATGATAATTAATTCAGTCCCTTCTAAAAAATTTCCTCATTATGCGATCAGTCGCTTCTACGTG